TGCATCTGTGTCACTATGCTTAGTTTTAATAATGCACTGACTCACGATGGGCTGACCTGGAATCTGTCGGGAAAACGTCCAAACTACTACAAGATGTGGAAAATTACAGAATCATCTTCAGGCGAGCTCCGCAAATGACACTGGGAAGAAAAATCTAACAGGGCGGCCAACTGAAGAAGTGAATTGATGCTGCCAGCTGCACTTAGAATAGAATAGAATAATTTCAAGCTTTTTTTCTCCCTGGTCTAAGTTAAACTAAACACTAAGCAATAATGACCAATATGAGTTATTATTAAAGGCTTATATTATGATACATTTTCTGGTCCTTTATAGTCAAACACAGAATTTTGGATTTATCAGCAGGAAGTAAGTTAAACATGTAAAAACGAGTACTGGCATCAGAAATGGCATACTTAGATACGTTTGAAAATGTTACTACATGTGCATGATTACTGAGCTTAATAATAGACCAGACTAACAAACTGAGATATAGTAACTAATGTTGCACCGATACCAAAACCGGGCGGGGCCCCGATCCAGCACTAAAATGGTGGTATCGGTATCGGCGAGTACTGACAAATAGGACAATGATACCATTTAGGTAGGCAATAAAAAGTTCTACCGGATTCACTTTGTATTAGTCTTTTTCCTGCTTCGCAAAGGTAGGCAGCAGCTTGAAAAAGCCATGATGACAATTATTTTACATCCAAGTAGTATACAGTTCTTCATATACACACACATCAATTTCAAACAGATAGTATCCATATTGGCCGATACTGCACAGTCAGGTATCGGGTATCGGGGCCAAAAAATGTAATCGGCGCAACACTAATAGTAACACCAGTGTTGTTTGGTCGAGAAAACCTTACTATCTTTCTCTACTTAAAGTGTAATTGGATTGTTTATGCAGCTCTGCATCCCGTTAAAATGATCATTGTCCGTTTAAATTATTAAAAATGAGCTAAAACGGAATCGGTTGCTCTGAGGATTTCTTCCCCTTTGTTCCCATAAGCTCCCTGCAATATAAAGTCCTCTGCACAAAATGTAACTGTTACTATTACTAAGATAACCTCTTAAAACAACACTTTAAAATGATATAAACTAGGTGTTTGATTAAAGTTCCGGGTTGTCTTTGCTAAATAAAAAAAAGGGCAAGAGGTTGTAGTCCGGAGGGCTAAGTGTTCTTTTTTTTGTGCTGTCCTACTTTATTGGGCTTTCTTGGAGTTTCCTGGCACATGGACGGTGATGAAAGATGAGAGCCTGGCTTTGTTATCGTTCTGTGGTTTGGAGCCAACAGAAAGGCAAATTACAGCATTTAGTAGGCCAGGAGAGCACATGTGACTGGTGCACCACATGGACTGAGTCACCCAGCCTTTTTTTTTTTCCCCCTTTGGAGAAAGAGATGATATGGTTCGTGTTTATGGGTAGGACTCTGCCTCGCCTTGTTGGTCTGCTGCCCGGGCCTTTACCCCAACTCCTCTTTCTATTTTCATCATCTTCTTGACATCTTTTCCACTGTAAGTCAGCCACCCAGCCTGGGATATCAAGCCCTCCTCACATATGATCTCTAACCCAGCATGTGCCCTATGTGTCATTTGCCCTCATTATAAGTAGGGTCTGTAGGAGTGGCCCTTTTCTCTCCTTTTATGTCAGACCTGTCCTCATTTGGGAGAACGGTCCACTAAAACACGTGCTTCAGCGTTTGAACAACTGTTTCCGAGGCTCAATGCTCCTTTTGGACTCGTTGGTTGCACTGTGGGTTCTGTGGTCGTGTGAGGGAGTTCGACTCCAGATTCTTTTCCTGTGCTGTCATTTCCAGAGTGCCACAGAAACCAAGCAGTGAAATGTGAAGTATTTATGATGATCGGAAAGAGCAATCCAGGTCAAGGGAAATAAACGGGGCACCGAGCAGGTTTGCTGCCTCAGTGACTGTATTTGCATAATGGGTCTGGAAAACTACTCTTAACGGCAGGTTTTCATGCAGCCCGCTGCGGCTTTAGGCATCTGCAGAAGTATTTTCATGAAAGAAATACTGGTTTTGCATTTATTTACAGGATTAAGCCAGAATCTTTACAAAAAAATAAGAGGTTTGTTTGTTACAGCCGAGGTCATTCATGTGTTTGCTCCTGCTGAGGACAAATATAGAACATACGCACTATGTGACGTCAGTTAACCCTCCGTTTTCTTAATAATAATCTGAAATGGAGCACGTGAGGCAGCTGGTTTGAAGGAAGAGAAAGAACGTCCGATATGATTGGCTGTGCCCGCTGGTTCCCCATTTTTATGTTGCTACGGGTGACAAATTCCTGGCGATGATGCAATACAGTCAGTGTTGTAAAGGCTGCCGGTTCTCCCCCTACCAGGCAACAGCATAATCTCTTTGTTTTAACTCTCCCTCGTTTTGTTCCCTCTGCTTTCTTTGTTTCCACTTCACTTGTTTCTTCTTTGTTCGATCCTTACAAAACGCTCTAATTGGCCGGTTTTCGTCTTTTTTTTTTGCGGCCTCTCTTATCTTTTTTCCGACTTCTACCTTTCCTCTTTCTGCCTTTCCGCTGACCTATATTTCAGTGAAAGACACAGTGAAGGAAGCCAGGCTCTTGTTTACGGAGTGCGGCTCGTCCCTAGTTTCTAGGTCAGTAGGACATACCGATTAAACAGGCCTCTATCCCCTCTGTTTTTCTGACTCGTGCCACAGAAGCACATGTCAAGCATTCAGGAGGATGACCTGAAACGGTTAAGTCCAGGAAAGGCTTTCCGGTATGTGCTGGCAAAGTTTTTATAAAAATACAATGCAACTTTGCTTTATAAACATATTTAAAGGCAAAGGCATGGGCTGTGTGCGACACAAAGACCATCCCAAAAGCTGAACCCTTTCCTACAATCAAGCTGGTATCCATTTATATCGGAGAGAAAAAGCAACAACCTCGCATTTGAAAACACAGAAAGTGGCATTTTGTGTTTTTTTTATTTTTTATTATTTGCATGAAGCGTAGAAAAACGCAGCACATCAACCATTTTCTTTAATTTTTGCATATCCTGAAAAGCAAGTAAAACAAGACTGGGGTTAAACATTTAATACATGATCTAGGTCAACACAGTCACTTATGTCTATGTAAGTAGTACAGCTACACAACAAAGATAGATTTGTTTATATTTGTATACTTATACTTATTTGTATAAATAGAATATATATTACAAATCTTTAATCCTGAAATGTTTTTACAGGCAAAGCCACTAGGAAAACATGAAAACAATTAGTTAACCTAGATTTTTTATGGATACATTTTTGCATTTTGGAAAACTTAATCTGAAAAAGAGAAATTCGGATAATTATATTTTTAAAAATCTTTTGAAAAAATAAAAGAAAAAAAGAAAGTGGAAAAATAGAAAAAAAATCAATTGAAAAATGAAATCCAAGAAAATTCTCAAAACGTTTTTTAAATTAAGATGTTTTTCCAGTTTTCATTCCTGGATTGCAATATCTTATTTTTCTTTTTCCCCCTTTCCTTTTTAGACAGTTATTCATGTGTTTTAGTTTATGAACCAAAGAAAAATTCAAGGTTAAAAGCAATAAAAAGACTCAACACTAACAAAGCATTAATTTAGAGAAAAACAATATATGTTTGATTAAGCTTTTATGGTTTTATAAAGACACAGTTGTTAAGGTTTAGTTTAAGCTGATTGTCACATTTTTTTTCTTTTCTGGGGGGCTCTTGACCTATATTTATAGATATCTCGCCTCCCAGCTACCCCCCTACATCTTCAAACCCCTCACTAGTTTCTAGACATCTTTTTCCTTGACCTGCATTAGCAGAGGCCTTTGTCTGCCTTATCTGCTCAACCTGTAACATCGATTTGGCATTGACTTTTTATGGCCAAGAATGCTGCCACATTCCTTCGCGGATGAGCGCATTTCAGTGGGGGGTGGGGAATCAGCAGTGTTGGTGGATGGGGGTTCTCAGTGGAAAACTAGTCCCAAGTTGAAGGTTTTTTTCTTTGTATTCCTTAAAAAATGCTGCAAAGCAGATCCAGGAAACACCAACAGATGTGCAGCTGACTCAGCCTTTGCCTTTATTCACTCATCAGGCAAAACAAAAGAGCTAATCCTTACACAATCCAGTTTTCATGCTCTCAGCATGTCTGCAACTGATGTAATTTCAGTGGAGTTGTGCAATTCATGTATGTATGTGCCTTCCTTGGTTGCAGTACACAAGCAATGTTTGCTTTCAGCTAACTGGCAGGATTAGCCGTCTTCTAATGAACTCTTTGCCCCCATTGCATCACCCAAAGCCAACATCAATATGCCAGGGAATGGGTCAGAGGTCACAGTTTGCAGACAGATCACATCAATAGCAAGTCTAAAAGGTCAGACGCTAAGGTCTAGCAGCCATTTACTGGTTGCCAGGGGTTACAGAGGCAGCAAAGACCAGACATGCCAAAAGATTAGATGGAGGCTCCACGTGTGGATGACTAACTTAGATGTTTTATTTTTAGGATCAAATAAGGTCTACAATAAGTGTATGTAGCAGATTACCTGCAGTCCATGTGGATTAAAATTTCTTTGTCTTTTCTTTTTTTTTTTTATGTTTACAGGGTGTCATCTTGCAGAGAGAACGGAGTGACGGAGGGAAGCTAAGGCCAACATACCCGAGAGACTAACATGCTGAGATAAACCAAACGTCCTACATCCTGCAGCCTGTGTGGAGATCTAGGACACTTTGCCCTCAGCTCAGCAAACTGTGTTGTTCTTCTACCAACCTTTAGTAACCAAGACTGGAGACTGATCAAATTCACCTCTGGGTTCTTTGTTGGATAACGTGGATAAATGAGGGTTGCCAGCGTTACATATAAATTGTTCTTCATCTGTTTGAGGTATTTAGACACATAACTCTCAAACAATAAACAAGTTTCCTGCTTCAGGAGGCAAGGTGCTTGCATTAGTTGGAAGTGGCTACCAGTTTCAAGAATGGAAAACTTAAGTCCACCTCTGAAAACACTGAGTAATCCCTCAGGGAACAACCTGAACATTGAGACCTACAATGGTTACGAAGAGACTCTTCAAGGGACACCAGGTCGCTTAGGGCGTATGATCAAGCCCAAGCCCAATGTCACCTGCAGACGAAAGCGTCAGTTCATTTCTGATGAGAAAAAGGACGCCTCTTATTGGGAAAAGAGGCGCAAGAATAATGAAGCGGCCAAGCGCTCTCGGGAGAAGCGCCGTCTCAACGACATGGTTCTGGAGAATCGTGTTATCGCACTGAATGACGAGAATGTGAGGCTCAAGACTGAGCTGCTCCAGTTAAAGTTGCGCTTTGGTCTCATAAGCACAGCCTCCTACATCGAGAAGAGCCAACAAATGAACGTAGGAAGCGATGCAGGAAATGGAGGCTGTTCCTCATCCTCCTCTTCTACTCAGTACTACTCCAGCGGCTACTCGAGTGGTTCTCAGGTGATGATTAACTCTGACTCTTCAGAAACAGAGCAGTCAGGGCGCAGCGATGGCCACAGGCAGCTGGTGAAATACTCTCCCCGAGGCTCCCTCTCTGACCTGTCCGATGGCTCATCCAGGGACAGCCCTGAGCCGATTCCGTTTGAGATCAAACAGGAGGGCGACAGATTGGAGATGGACATCACCAGTGGCACCACAACCCAGATTATGTTCAACATTCACAGGGGTCCAGCTTCTTCGTCTGCACACCACCAGATTAAGCAGCAACAAGAGATGGAGGCTGCATATCACCACCAGCCCCATCTAATTCAGCAGCAATCACAACCCCATCAGGAAACCGCTTCTGCTATCAAAAACATCAGCCAGGCTACCCCTAACCCCCCTGCTGCCCAAAGAAGTGTAATCCTGTATGGTGCCAGCAGTGCCTCCTATCCGGTAGATATCGTCAGCAGGCCCCAGGATGTTGATGTGCAAGTAGCCTTAAAGCACAGCAGCAGCCAACTGCAGCAGTCAATCACAGAGACCTCCTCAGAGACTCTCGCTGAGGTAACAAAGCAACTGGAGAGAAAGACATTGGACTCCCCTCAATATGAGCTTTCTGACAGCTTTAGTGAAGTTAAACAGAGAGAGGTGTACAGAGTCTGCCAACTTACCCAGCAACAGTTAGAGCAGAGACAAGAGGACGAATCACCTGTAGCTACCCACTGTGAACAGGTAGAGGGCGTCACCCAGGCCCAGTTGTGTCAGCATCTTCAGCAACCTCATCATTCCTACCTCAGTGCACAAGATGAGGAGCCACCAGTGCTTAGCTACGAGGGTGGACCCCGAGCCAACAGTTATCTTCAAAGCCAATCAACGTCGTTAAGTGACGGCGATCCCTGCAATTCTGACAAAGAGGCATCGACAGATGATGAGGAATCGCTGTCTTTGTCCTGCCCAGATATGAGCAGCCTCCACAACCAACATCTTTCTGGGATCCTTCAGTCCGGGTTGCCTCTTCCCCAGTACCCAGGCTGCTTCCAGATGCAGGGCTGGGATCCCCAAGGGGAGGTAAGGGGGACAGCTCTGCCCCACAAACTCAGACTCAAACACCGGGCAATGAGTAGCGGCAGTAGTGGTGGCAACTGCTCTGGACAAGACTCCCCGACCTCTCCGCCGTCTGCTACCCCACCTCCTTTGCCTCAGCACCCCTACCTTTCCCTCTCGCCTTTGGAGAACATTAAGCAAGAGCGTCCAAGTGGAGCTTGCAAACTTGTAGCATCAGAAGGGGGGCCAAGGAAAGACAGTGGCAAAAAGGAAAGTGGTGGGAGACGGAACAAGAGGCGAGATTAGGAGGCAAGTTCTCCTCTAAGACTGCTCTGCCATCATGCCTTTGCCCTACCATAAAATGCCCTTCTGAAGCATCTGGGACATGATTCCAGGCTTCCCTATCCCTCGATTTGGGAGAAAAAAACGGACACATTGTAGGGCTGTGTATCATATTTGTATATGTTGTACAGATTTTGTCATTTCTTACATCCTCTCCATACTTACTGAAGCATGTTGTCTATAGGGTGAGGAGAAATGAAACTCCCTGTTTTTTCTACTTTCTCATTCAGCAGCATCCAGCAGAATACACCGGCTAAAGCACATTTTTGATAGTATACGAAAAGGAATGTAAAAAGAAAAAAATCCACTTACCACAAATTTGATACATGTTCAGATGTAGATAAACATACAAATGTATGGGGTCTCTGCCTTAACTACAATCAAATGCAAATGAACACCTTCGACCAAAGAAGCACCAATACAACAACTATTAGTTTTCATACCTCTTCCCTGGCCCTACCTCTGCCAACCCCTCTCCCTCTTAGCCATCTGCATTATTCCACGAAAGATCACATCACAGTTATTTTTGAAGCACTTGTTTTGTACATAAATTTGATGTAAATGAATACATGTATCTATTTTCTGCATCTATTTAAAAAAATGAATACACATTCAGTAGAAATGCAGCAGAAATGATGTATCTGAAAATGACTGTTCTCTGACAAATCACAACTATCGCACAGTGGGGGTGCAACGAGATCTCGTGGCAGGAGATTTTTTTAAGGGCCTGATTCAATTGGAAATATAACATGACATTGAAGTGACATTTTTACAGATTCAAACAAGTTGAGACTCTTTATCCGAAGGTTGAAATCTAAAAACTCTTCGGTCATAACATTTTAAAATCATATTGGACACATCTTCCTAAAGCCCACTCTGCCTAGGACGGTTCTGATGCTGTGAGATGACAAACCTGTTAACCGGCCACACCAAATCGCCAAGAACACCTTGAAAAAAAGCTTAAATCAAATCAGCTGCTGTTCTTTAACCCCTAGGAGTGTCTATCTGCCATATAAAACCACTGCGGTGTGATGGCGGAGAGCCGCCTTATTGCTTATTATATGTTGCTACAAAATTGGAAGGACCACATGACTCATAGATGGGATGTAGTATTTAACAGGCTAGTAGATAATGGGTAGGGTTGTACTTAGTTTCTTATATCAGCAACATGTGTGACCTAAAACCAGACTTCAATGATTGTAGAGTGAGCATTAGCTGTCAACGAGGCTAAAGTTAGCATCTCCATCGGTGCCTCCAAATACAGAAATAAACATTAGGTAAAATGATAAATTCTAAAACTGGATTATTCTACGATACATTTTTGAAATTTCAAAAATATTAATGCTATTTTTAAAAAAACTAGAAGGAAAGAGCGAAACTGAAAGCGTGGACAAATCAAACCTGGACTTAAATGTTATATACAGACTCCAGAGATATATATGTAAAAGAACTGGCAATTTTTTGTATGTTTGCTTAAAAAGAGATAATATGGACCCCCTAATTCTTGTTAATGGTAACCCTGTAACCCCAAATGTATCATATTTGATACATGAGGTTTTTAAAAACCTCTACATCATCAGTGTGATTTCCTGATAAACCTGATGAACACAATCAAACACGTGTAGTGAACAGAAATGATACAAATCAAACCTCCTATATGTAGTTTGACATTTTACTTGTCACAGGACCCCAGTAAAAATAAAAACTTTTTTTCTGAAAATGATGTCATGTTTCTATTGTTGAGGATCTTGCCTGATAACTGGATCTATTTCTCGTGTCACGAGTTGCATTGTTACACCCCTACTGCACAGCCGTGCTGTTAATGGTTGCTACAGGATACATTCAGATTAAACATCTCTCTTCTGTAAGCTTTTGGGATTAATCAGTAATAAAATGTCTTGTTTACAGAGAAATGGTCATCCAGTTCGGAGAGCCAGGAGCACTGAAAGGAAAATACGTTTTCTCCCTGAGAGGGTGGCCTCATTAAAACATTAGAATTAATAAACCTTTAACCAGCCTTTAAATATTTGGTGGGAATCACCGGCTGCAGGCTTTAAGCCTTTAGTTTCTTTAAGCTTTATCAACCGTATCTTGTTACCATTCGTTCACTGGCCCCACTGTATTTATTTCCCTCTTCGTCAAAATGCCATTCACTGTAAAAAATAATAATAAAAAAAAGAATAAAAAAAAAAAACAACAGACAGAGAATGTGTACAGAACCTTTTAGATGCATATCAGCCTAAAAGTAGAACTTTTTGTAGTGGAGAAGGAGGAGAGGCAAAAGGAGTTAGGACATGTAAAAAAAAAAAACACTGCAGTGCACTGAGACTTAACTTCAATCATGAATACCTACTGTTTACTTTTTCTGTCATGGATCACGGTTCTGTAGTGTGACCAAATATGACCACAAAGCCCCATGACACACATTGAAAAAAAAAATTTTAAGGTTGTAGCCGAGTTGCTTAATTCCAAAGCCAAACTCTGCTTATCATCAAACTGGACTAAATTTCTGATTTAGAGCTTTAATTGAAAGTAGAGTTGGCTCTCCCTTATTTCCTGTTTGCCTCCATTATGCATTTCAGGGGGTTGCAAATCCCCTTTTTTTCGTGGTAGTTCTGCATCTGGATTGTGACACATTGCCTTCACTGGATTCTAGTTTATTATCTATGTATCTGTTTGGCTTTTTTGGTGCTTGTGTATAAATGTAAAGGTTCACAAACACTGTAATGTTTGTTTTATTGGTTTCGTATCTTCTTTTGAGTCCGGGTGTTTTGTTTTTTTTCTCTATGCCGTGTCTTTGCTCCTACTGACTGTGATTACATGTATTTGCCTCATTCCTCTTCGTCCCCCACTTTTTTTTTTATTTCTTTTTTTTTTTTGGTGTGTATTAAATGGTAAAGTTTGTGGTTTTGATGATGGTTTTTATGAAAATGAAATGGACGAGACAAGGCAAAACTTTGGTGTGGTGTGTAGAGATGGGTGGCAGTTGGTCTGGTTTATCATAACCATGTAAAGACACTAATGTTCATTGTTGAAAGACGGGAGCATTTCAAGAAAAAATAAAAAATAATGTTGCCCTGCCGACATATCAATGAAAATTTCTGTTTCTGAGTCTTTTTTTTATCCTTCCTGCTTCATAGAATTTACCTCTCAGGTTCTGCTGAATTTCAACACAACAGGCAGGTTAGTTGGTCATCCAATCATTATAAACGCTAAGCTATTAATAATTTACCAGAATCACCAGTTAGGCCATACATTTATAATTGCTTTGCACAAGAAAATTATTCATCATTACCAAGGAAAGAAAATATCTGAGCAATAGTCACAGTTCCTTGGAACTCTGCAAAAGTATGCAATTTAATTAACCTGGGTGTTTTCCAGGAAAATATAGACATTACTGTAAAGATGACCACCTTTTATTTATTGTTTTCATTTTACCTTTATTTAATCGGAGACAGCTCCCCAGCAGCAAGCAAACAGGTTTCAATTTCTAATGTTAAAACATATAATAAAAGCAGAAACACATCTTATATCCATCTGAAATGAGAGGTCCTGAGAGATTTGGATTCCAGGTAAAAGGAGCCAATTTATAAGCAGGCATCTTCCCCACGTCATTTTGGACATTCTGGGATATTATTCCTACATCTAATGACACTTTACTTTTTTATCTCATGCTTGTTTCTTTTTTTTTTTTTTCTCTATTTCTTATGTTCTATATTTCTTATTTGCCTTTTTCCTATATTTTCTTCCTCTCTTTTCCTTATCTCTTTTACCTTAATCCTGTTTTTCTCTTTTTTGTCCTGCTGTCTTCCTCACTTCCTTTCCTCCTCAGATCACACCTCCCTTCCTAACAACCTTCTTACCTTGCCTCTTTACATTCTTTTCTTCCCACTTAGTTTATTCTTCCTTCTTTCTTTTACTTTCTTTCCATCCTATTCCTTTTGCATCCCTTTTTCTACTTTCATCTTTATCTCTGCTCCCGATTGTAAAACATAGTAGTCAAACTCATATCTGGACCAAATCCATGGTAACTATTTCTATTTTACATCTTGCTGTAGATGAATAAGCTGTCTGGAAAGCAAAGCCTGAAGAAACCTGAAATTCTTTTTACCTTTCTATTCTTTTTTTTTCATATTAGAGATTTACCAATGAAATGCAGGATACTAGGATGAGGTGATTTCCCTTTAATTGGCTCTGAATGAACCCTTCTATTTTTATTCATCTGTTAAGTTCTTCAAAGCTAAGAATTCTAACCATTTATTAGTCTAAAATGCATCAGCTAACAGAATTTACCCTGAAGCACTTTTTCAGCTTGATAAACATCAGGCACATGTGCTTTAGTGTATGAAAATAATAATCTAGTTCCTGTATTTAATATATTGTTCTTGGGATCCAAATTACTCACTTCTATGTAAAAACCTGAAGAAAATCTTTTCCTCTTTCTTTGTTTCAATTGTTTAGGGAAGAAAAATCATAATAATATCAGAAATTACCTTCGGTCAGGGAAAGTACAATCGGTGCATTTCTTAGTAGAGGTTTGCTGGTTTTTTTGTTATTCCTACTGGAATTACTTAGAAATTAACTAGAAAACAGATTTTTGGCTAACAGTGTTCCATTAATACAGTCTTTTTTTTCTTCCTAGTTTCTCTACTTTACACCTCTACGATTATTCTCAGGGAAAACGGTTCAAAGTTTAACCGGAGGAGGGTCAATAATTAATCGGCTCTATCATTAACAGTTGGCAGCTTTCTCTAATAGGCAACTTTAACCAGTCTGCAATGAGAAAAGTGCAGCAGCGACATACTGACACACTTTGCCAGAAAACACAAAGTAGAGCTTGTGTGATGTAACACTGGCCTACTTCTACCAGCTCACTGCATGAGGATGTCATTAAATCCAGCACTGGCATTAACACTGAAAATCCATAAAAGATGAGCTTTCATTGTTTCAGCCTCAGCATTTAACTCTCCAGAATAAGTTAGAGACTAAGTAAAGATGGGACAAGAAAAAACTAGTACGGTCCAGATGTGAGGCAAAAAATTGATTCATGGACATTCATAATACATGGAATGTAACATTACAGCAGGTCTTAAATGCAATGTTTCTCCCCTGGCTTCATCTTTGTCACTTTGACTTTTCACAAACAAATCTCTGAATGTATCTTTCTAAAATATTTGTGTAAAATTTCAAACAAAGTAACTTAAAGTAGCCTGATAAACCAGACTAAATTTGAGATTAAATGTATAATTTAGTCTGGCCCCGATGAATGAGACATCGGAAGATTGTTGATGAGAACAACCTTTTGTTTTTCAAACCATGTCTGTGCCTCTTGGCCAACGCTCTGACCAATGAGCGCAACTGACTGTGACGTAGTAAGCGCAACAGAAAGCTCGCGGGGTAGTGCAAACAAACAGCCTGTCGGTAAAACGGCGAATACCCCTGATTCCAAAGCTGAGTCAAATGAGAAATGTTCCATAGTTGTTTCCATCTTCATTGTTGTGCTTTCTCCAGCGTCGTGCAGCTTTATCGTCACGCCCTCAAAACCCCGCCTTCTTTGCATCCAGAAATTCAAAACACATCTCTGCGTTGTGATTGGCCCGCCAGTTCTAGGGCCTGGGTCATTGATCGAGGCTAGACCACTCGCAGGAAAAACGGATTTTGGACGTGTGTGGGTGGGGCTAGATTACTAGGCTAAACTTAATGTTCTTAAAAAGACACAGTGCCTTTTGATGCAGTGTCTCTAGCAGCTCTTTACACCTTAGACTTAGACAACTTTAGTTTTGTACAGCTTTAATAACATTTCCATTCCTTAAAGTGCAGCAGTGCTCAAATGTAAACAGTGTGGAAGAAAAAATATGGTGCAAAAGAACACAATGATATGGAAGTTCAAATCAATAATATATATGGTGCATTTATGCAGTATTTGGGTTTGGTGTTGTCAGTGTGATGCAGAGTCTGTGACATGATTTAAAGTTTTTTCAACAGTTCAGCAGTCTGATGGCGGTGGGGAAGAAGCTGTTTGCTGGACCTGCATTGGATGCTTCGAAGCCTCTTCCCAGAGGGCAGGAGGGAGAATAGTCCATGGTGGGGGTGTAAGGGGTCATTGATGATGTTATAGGCTGGTGACACGCAGAGCTAGGATGAAATATCTTTTATTTACAGAAGAGGAGCCCCGAATGTATTCTCTCCTCATCCTCTGCAGGAAGTACATATGCTTTTTGAATTGAAAATCTTCTTTTGGACAGTAAGCTTTTATGAGTGATGCAAAAGCAACCATTTTCAAACAGAGCGTGCACGAGGAGAAATGCACCTATGAGCCCATCCCTCTTGGGTACAAGATTGTGCATGTGCATTTTTTTTTTAAAGTGGAGAGGGTGAGTCGTGAAAATCCTCCACTACACCTTTAAATGAACTAATTGTAAAAATTGTGAATAAATGTATGCTTATCTAATGACATTTAACTTTTTTTTATACTTGAAAATGCATTTTTAATTATTAATTTGAGCTTTTTTATAATTTAGCAGCTTATTTAATATTTAACTCACTGTATAAGATGAAAAATGTATTTAAACAAATGTGTTTTACAACTACTTACAGCATGGCTTATTTATTTGGTTTAACTGGCCACAATTTTTTTTTTACTTCACAATATTTTTTGACTCTCCCTGCACCTGAGGGGTCACACAACGATTGTGAAAACCATCTTGCGATCCCCCATTTGGTGTCACTTTGGCAACGCCTGGATTAGGGCATTCTAACACATAAAAATTTACTTGTGCTTGAAATCACCTTTCATTCACGGTGACCGGGTCATGAGGGGCAGCAGAATCTCAGACATCCCTCTCCCCGGACCCCTCCTCCAGCTCCTCTGGGGGAAGCCTGAGGTGCTCCAAGGCCAGCATCCAGTGTGTCTTTGCCTGTCCTCTGGATCTTCTTAGAAAATGATCTGAAATAAATAAATGTCTCTCTGGCTTTATGAAGTGTTCTGTCCTCTATTTAGATCCATCCAAATTTTGGCTGCTGAAGACCTGATGGTGTGTTCATGGTTATGATCATAATCTAATAATCTAATCTGGAAATAAGTACAAATTCTTTAAATTTGTTTATTTTCTTTTAATATGTGCAGGTAAATAAAACAATCTACAAATGGAAATTGCTTTTGTTTTTTCTTTAAAACAACATAATTAGATACAATGCTCTTAAAATACGAT